AGGAAACCACTCAGAGAAACCAGGGGAAGGTTTAACAGGTTTTATTGAAAACAAGTCGAGATGGGTCCAGCGTTACTCTGAACGCTGGTGAACCGACACTGGAAGTGAGAAGTTCAGTGTTTAGTTCAGGCTCAGTGGGAAATTTGAGCTAAGATTTGCAAAAGAAGTTACAGCAACTAGACTCACGTTTCCAGAAAAGGTGTCTTTCCAAGAATCCAGTTGGTGTGGGTTATTCCAGAAATTGGTTGACTCGTTGGAGGGCGGACAGGGTTTACCCAGGTTAAGTTGGTTCCTAGAGGAGTGGTGGAGCTCACTGCCATTTAGATTTCCTGAGGTACTTGAACGGTTCGTGTGGAGATGAATCTCCTGCTCAGTGTGAAGCTCAAACAATCCTTTCGGGGAGGAGAAGGTCCAAACCTCCTGTTTGCAACCCCTGCTCGGTATGAAGCTCAAGACGATCCTTCCAGGGGGAGAAGGCCCAAACATCCAGTTTGCAGGATGACTTCCTGCCGAGAGGCAAAGACAAAAACAACAAGGTTAAGACTCAGGGAGACAAAAAAACTCAGTTTGACTCAGCAAAACTCAGCTTGGCTAGAGTACCCAAAACTGGCAAACACTCTGGCGTCGAGGTAGTGACAGTCAGCAGCTTAAGTAAGATAATTAAATAATATCCAATTGTAATAAGATAATGCAATTGCTTTTTCTTATTTTAAATGTAAATTGTCTTGTTCCATTGGCAAAGTGTCTCACTTACCTCCTTAATTCAAGAACAAATTCACTTAGTTGAGGAAAAAATTACTTATTTAGATTTACATTTTTTTGCAGTGTAGGAAGCAGGAAGAGAAGAAAACTAGTGACAAAACTGTGATACATCACAAGATACTTAAAAAAATCAGGGCAGTAAACATTATTCTGTTAATAAGAAAACCAACATAAGCACAATTGTGGTGTGAGAGCACAAAGTAGCACAACGGATGCCATGACTTCCACTCTGAGGATGCACATACAAGCCAGGAGTCAATGTTAAGGTTATACATCGTGATTTGGGAGACTATTGCTCTGCATCTACAGCTCTGTCTGCTGAATTTATCGTAAAAACAAACTTGGCAGCCATTACAGATTTTAGAGCATCATTTTACAAGACATAAAATTGGAGGAAAAACCCAGAACTCACACTTGTTTGAAGGAGGATCATGTTCAGAATGTGCTTCATGTTGCTCCTGTCTGGTCTGAGATAAACACTGTGGAGTTGCATCTTCAGAACCACTTTTCTGGCACTTAATAACGCTCTCGCTGAAAGTCTGATGCTTTGAATTGGGCTGAATCCCCGGAGAATCAATTAAAAATATTCCTGCAAAAGCAGTCAAAAGTGGGTACCTTTGTAAAGCAGTTTGAAATGGGTTTCTATTGCCTTAGCTAAGCTGTGCATGCCTGTTGACTTTACTATATTATCAGTAAGCAATCAAGCGTTTCTTCATAGCTTAATGTGTAATGAACAAGCCTATGGAAAGTATTTATTTTTCTTAATCATAAATTGTATTCACTCTTTTTAGAACCACATTTAACTACAATTACAGCTGCAGCACTTTTTGAGTATGTCCCTCAGTTTTGCACATAAATACACTTTATTTTTTGCTTTTTTGCTCATTCCTTGAAAACGTATCCTCCTACTTGAGCTCTGGTTCTCTGCATCTCCTCCAAAGCTACTGTTGCAGTAACTACACTGGAAAAACAATCTAGAAATAAGTAAAAATATCTTAAATTGAGTGTGCTGTATTTACCCTTAATTTGAGAAGGTAAATGAGAGGATTTGCCAATGGAATGAGCATTTTTACTCTTAAAAAAAGATAATTAGATAATATCCACTTCAAATAAGACAATATAATTGTGTTTTCTTATTTTATGTGTATATTGTCTTGTTCCATTGGCATAATGTCACTTTTACCTCCTTAATCTAAGAGCAAATGCACTTATTTTAAGAAAAAATTACTTATCTAGATTTCAATTTTTTCCAGTGTAGCATATGGGTGATGCTATAAAAAATGTATTTTTGTTGACCCATTAAATGTAGTTAATAAGTCAGGAAATGTGTGATTGGTAAATTAATTCTCTGATGAAACATGTTGTTTCTTGTAAGAACTTGTATAACGTTGTTTAGATGGTTATGTCCCCTTAAATTGCATCTCCCCTAAAAGGTTCCAAACTGAGATTCTAAATCCTTGGAGATGCAGAGCAGCTGGATATGGAAGATTAATGTTGACTTGTCTGCATTTTAAACATCCTTTCATTGGGATCGAAATCCTCACAATCAAATAAACAAAAAAAAAATCAATAATATACATTAGACATTCATGCACTGCAGCCATAAGGAGAGCAAAGTACGCAATCTAAATTGTAAATGGACTGTACTTATATAGCGCTTTTTCAAGTCAGGAGACTTGACCAAAGCTCTTTACACCATATTCAGTCATTCACACACACACACACTGATGGTTGTAAGAAAAATTAAAATCTAGATAAGCCATTTTTTCTTAAAATAAGTACATTTGTTCTTGAATCGAGAAGGTAGAAGGGAGGTTTTGCCAATGGAACAAGACGATTTAGATTTAAAATAAGAAAGCACAATTACATTGTCTTATTTCAAGCGCATTTTATCTAAATATCTTATTTTACGAGTAAAAATACCCATTCCATTGGCAAACTATCTAATTTACCTACTCAAATTAAGGGAAATAGACTTAATTTAAGAAATGTTTTACTTATTTCTAGATCGTTTTTCCAGTGGCATTGTACCCACAGTTGCCCTGGGGCTCACTGATAGAAGCGAGGGTGCCATACTTTAGCACCACTGGGCCCTCTGACCACCATCAGTAGAAAATGTAGGTGAAATGTCTTGCCCAAGGACAGAACGAACACTGGAAGCCGAGGCTGGGGCTTGAACCGTCAACCCAATTTGGGGCAAACTCCTACACCTGACACCAATTCAATTCAGTTTATTTCTATAG